CTGCAGCTGCAGCAGCAGAAGCTGCAACAGAAGCTGCAGCAGCAGAAACTGCTGCAGCAGCAGCAGCAGCAACGTGTGGGGCTGTTTAACTTTTATTTTTAATTTCTTTTTCTTGGGGGACTTTCGCCGCACCTTTTTTAGACCCGAAGTCTGGAGTTTATATTTTAATTCAATTTATATTTCTTTGTTTTAATTTTAATTTAATTTTAATTTAATTTAATTTAATTTAATTTTAATTTTAATTTAATTTTAATTTTAATTCACCTTTTGGTCCCGGCTGTTTCGGCTGTATGAACAGGAGCGACTTCCGCCGCAGCAGCAGCTGAAGGGTTTAGGGTTTAGGGTTTAGGTTTTAGCGCTTAGGGTTTAGTGTTTAGTGCTTAGTGTTTAGGGTTTAGGGTTTAGGGCTTAGAGTTCCGCGTTTAGAGTTTAGGGTTTAGGGTTTAGAATTTGGGGTTTGGGGTTTAGGGTTTAGGGTTTAGGGTTTGGGGGGCCATCCGCTATGAATCTGTTTGTCGATTATAAAATTGCTCTTCAGTTCAATTTATTTTACTCTTAATTTTATTAAACGCAGCAAATCCATTTCTCTCTCTTGCTGCTGCTTGAGAAAGTCCCTGCTGCTGCTGCTGCTGCTGCTGCTGTCGATTATAAAATTGCTCTTCAGTTCAATTTATTTTACTCTTAATTTTATTAAACGCAGCAAATCCATTTCTCTCTCTTGCTGCTGCTTGAGAAAGTCCCTGCTGCTGCTGCTGCTGCTGCTGCTGCTGCACTCTTCATCTCCCCGAATTCCCCCATAGCGAACAGCAGCTAGCTGCGGCTAGCTGTGGCTAGCTGTGGCTCGCGGTGGCTCGCTGTGGCTAGCTGTGGCTAGCTGTAGCTAGCTGTGGCTAGCTTTAGCTAGCTGTGGCCGACGGCTAGCTGCCGCCAGTCGTGGCTGACAGCTAGCTGCAGCTAGCTGTAGCTAGCTGCAGCTAGCTACAGCTAGCCTCAGCTGCAGCTAGCTAAGAGTGCCTTCAGCTAGCTGCAGCTAGCCACAGCTAGCCACCAAATGCTAGCTGCTGCCGGCAGCAGCAGCTTCTGGGCCAGCAACTAAAATGTTTTTAATTGATAAATGTCTTTGAAGTTCTTTTATGCTGCTGCTGGGGCCGTGTACTCCGGGCAGCAGCAGAGGCAGTGCAGCAGCAGCAGCAGCAGCACGGAAACAGCAGCGGGAGGGGAGCAACAGCAGCAGCAGCAGCAGAAACAGCAAATGAGTCGGCTTACAGCAAAGTAGCAGCAGAAAAGACAAAAGCCACATATCGAAGATGCTGCCCGTGCAGGGAACAGCAACAGAAACAACAGTGAGAGCAGCAGCAGCAGCAAGACAGCAGCTATGGCGGCAGCAGCAGCAGCAGCAGTTGCAGCAGCAGTGACACGCAAAGCTCACCAAAGCGGTTTACAGTTGTTGCAGAAGTTGCTGCTGCAATGCCCTGAAGAATGAACCTGCTGCTGCTGCTGCTGCTGCAGCTGCTGTCTCGTCCCTAGCCAGGGGACAGCAGCACGGGTATAGGCAGCAGCAGCAGCAGCAGCAGCAGCAATGCCGCTGCTGCACTTAGTGAGGCCAATGTCGATAAAAGATTGTTTCTAATCCATATAAGGGGCTAATTTTTGTCTGAGCGCCTCTGCATTCGGCGCAGCAGCAGCAGCTGCTGCTGCAACACAGACAGCGAGCAGCAGCAGCAGCACCAGCAGCAGCAGCAGCAGAGCTCGACCTGAACGTGCACCAGCAGCAACTGCAGCAGAAACAGAAGCAGCAGCCCAGATTCAGCGGCAGCAACACCATCTGCAGCAACAACTGCAAAGACACTTCGAAAGATTTCCTCTGCTGCAGCACAGCCTCACCGGTGACAGTTTCGTCGGCAGCAGCAGCAGCAGCAGCAGCACCAGCAGCAACACTACCAGCAACAGCTGCAGCAGCAGCAGCAGGAAAGGCTAGCCAAATGTGTACTTTGGCCTTTTAAACACACAAATATTGCATGCGTGGGGCGAACATTGGGGTAGGAGCAGCAAAAACAGCAGCAGCAGCAGCAGCAGCAGCAGAGCTGCACGGTCCAGCGTGCGCTGCTGCAGCAGCCACCGCACTCCCAAGGCACCAGCGGAAGCAGCAATTGCTACTGCAGCAGAATTGCCAGCAATTTTACTAGAGAAAACATAGAAGGGAGCAGCAATAGCAGCAGCAGCTGTCGGCTGCAGCCGCTGCGCAGCAATGCTGCAGGCAGCGACGCCCAACAGAAGGCTGCTGCAGCTAATGGCACAGCAGCAGCAGCAGCAACAGCAGCAGCAGCCGCAGAAGCAGCAGCACGGATTGTGTGTGCACTGGCACTTGAAGTGCGTCCAGTGCAGCGGCTGCTGATTCACAGCAGCAGCAGCAGCAGCAGCAGCAGCGACTGCAGCAGTAGCAGCAACTACAGCAGCAGCAGCAACTGCAGCAGCAGCAGCAGCATCAACTGCAGCAGCAGCAGCAACAGCACAAATGCTCCCTGTACTGAGGAGCAGATGCAGCAGCACTTCAGGGGTCCCTCGCTGCCAGCTGCTCGGCAGTAGCAGCAGCAGCAGCAGCGAAGGCAATAGTAGCAGCAGAAGCTGCCACAGCAGCGGCGATATAAGCAGCACAAACAGCAGCGGCAGCTGCTGCCACTGCTGCAGCAGCGGCTCAAGCTGCAAAAGCAGCAACTACGTCTTCAACAACAATGTAAGCATTAACAGATGCTCCAGCAGCAGCAGCAGCAGCAACAGCAGCAGCAACAGCAGCAGCAGCAGCAGCAGCAGCCGCAGCGGGACCCACCGGACCTATGCGGACAGAGCCTGCAGCAGCAGCAGCAGCAACAACAACAACAGCAGCAACAACAAAAACAAACACAGGGAAGATCCACCTGACCCATGCACAATTGATCACTATGGCAGCAGCAATGCTAGCAGCAGCAGCAGATGCAGCAGCAGCGGCAGTAGATGCGGCAGCAGCAGCAGCAGCAGATGCAGCAAATGCAGGCGACGCTCCAGCAATAGCTGCCGCAGAAGCAGCTGCAGGCGAGACCGCAGCAGCAGTAGCAGCAGCAGCAGCGGCGGCGGCCACCGCGAAATTCCGCGCCACAGCAGCACAGGCAGAGGTGGAGAAATAAACAGCGGCAGCAGCAGCAGCAGCAGCAGCGACAGCAGCGACAGCAGCACGGAGAGCAGCAGCTGCAGCAGCCACTGCAGCAGCAACGACACCTCTGCGGCAAACTGCGTGGCGGAGAGCCCGCAATTTGTAAACCGTCTAAAAGAATGCAGCAGCAGCCGCAGCAGCAGCAGCAGCAGCGGCAGCGGCTTGGCCATAGGGAGCAGCAACAACACACACAGCAGCAGCAGCAGCAGCAGCAGCATTCCTGAGCTGGCGCTGCTGCTTGCTTCTCAGTTCTTTTGCGTGGGGGACCTGTGCAGCTGCTGCTTGGTGTGCCGCGAGTGGTATGTGCTGCTGGCGCAGCAGCAGCAGCAGCAGTGGCGGCTGCTGCTGCTGCAGCAGTTTGGAGTTAAATATGAAAACTATTTTAAGTACCGCCTCGGCTGGAGCTGGAGACTGGCCTTTGCCAAAGCAGCAAGTTTCGTCAGAAACATCAAGCAGGTAACTCCTGCTGCTGCTGCTGCTGCTGCTGATTGTGCTGCTGCTGCTGCTACTGCTCCCGCTGCTGCTACTGCTCCCGCTGCTGCTGCTGGTGACGATGATAGCGATACTGCTGCTGCTGCTGCTGCTGATTGTGCTGCTGGCGCTGCTCTTGCTGCTGCTGCTGCTGATGATGATGACGATGGTGATAGTGGTGCTGCTGCTGCTGCTGCTGACGATGATGATGATGATGATATTGATGCTGCTGCTGCTGTCGACGGTGCTGCTGCTGCTGCTGGTGATGGTGGTGCTGCTGATGGTGATAGTGCTGCTGCTGCTGCTGATGGTGAAACTCCTGCTGCTGCTGCTGCTGCTGCTGCAGGCGAAGTACCGGCACACAAGCTACAAGGAGCTGCTGCGGCCCTCGCTGCCTCGGGCCCGCGTGCGCAGTTTGGCACTTTGCTGCTGCTGCTGCTGCTTCTTGTGGGAGGACGGGGTGTACATACACCTGGTGCACCTGCAGCAGCAGCGGGAGATGTGGCGCGCCGAGGCCAACAAGCCAGTGGACCACCTGCTGCCCCGCTGCAGCAGCAGCAGCAGCAGCAGCAGCAGCTGGGAGGAGGAAAAGGAGCCTCGGGCCTGCTTAGTGGCAACAGCAACAAAAGCAGTGGTGCTGAAGCGGGGAGTGCTGCGGGGGTACAATTTGCTGGACGGGCAGCTTGCTGCTGCTGCGCTGCTGCCAGCAGCAGCAGCAGCAGCAAAACACCAGGACTTCCCACTAGATGTTTCCCTCAGAAATCTGCAGCTAACTGTTTTGGCTGGCAGCTCTTTGTATGTCTTTGACTCCCACACTCTCAGGTGTCTGTACACCGTGGTGCACACCCAGAGCCCTGCTGCTGCTGCTGCTGCTGCTGCTGCTGCTGCGCCGCCCAGGCACTTCGCCTTCAACAGACCCCCAGCAGCAGCAGCAGCAGCAGCAGCAGCGCCAGAAGAAGCAGCGCAGGACTTGGACTTCCTCTGGGCGGGCTATGTAGACTCCCCCACTGCCTACAGCTGCAGCAGCAGCGGCGTGGTTAGCGGCAGCAGCAGCAGCTGCTGCAGCACTTGCAGCAGCCGCTGCAGCAGCTGCAGCACCAAACTGTTCATACCGAAGCTGCCAGCAAACGCTCCAGCCTCTCTGCTGCTGCAGGAAGCACGCGCGATGCAGCAGCAGCAGCAGCAGCAGCAGGACTCTCCGCCGGCCCCCTTCTGCTGCGGCCTCCGCAGCAACAGCATTTTTGCTGCTGCAGTGCAGCAGCAGCACCGGCTCATTCGCCGCAGCAAGCATCTTGTCACCTGGCTCAGGCGCAGCTGCAGCACCATCAAAATATGGGCAGTGGCAGACGGTGAGGCTGATGCTGCTGCTGCTCAGCAGCTGCAGCACCAAACTGTTCATACCGAAGCTGCCAGCAAACGCTCCAGCCTCTCTGCTGCTGCAGGAAGCACGCGCGATGCAGCAGCAGCAGCAGCAGCAGCAGGACTCTCCGCCGGCCCCCTTCTGCTGCGGCCTCC